GTGATAATAGTTATTACATTGGAGATACCAAACGACATGTCTCGGACCGCATTCGTGAACACAAAGCAGACCTAAAACACGGTAGGACCAACACCTCAGCCATGGCAGATCACTGTTATAATTCAGTAGGCTCACATGACATTGACTTCTCCAAGACAGAGGTTCTTTGCAAGCCATCTGGCTACCATGAGAGATTCGTTCATGAGGCCATCCACATATATAAACACAGAGACAATTTCAACTGAGAAGATTGATTATGGCTTAGCAATCATTGGAAGGATTTGATAAACCATTTTGGGTCTTAATTGAATGTTCACGCTTACGGTGGCTTTCAGACAGCATCCATTATATTCGTCTCCCCCCTCCTCTTTCCCGCACATAGATGGACTCGCCCATCTGAATAACTGCCAAATCGCTCTCCGTGGTGCTAACGTTAAAAAACCGCCACTTTTTTCAAATTTTCTAGCTGTGGTTTTCACACCTGATGATGATTGTTGCAGTCTAAACGTCGTGAGAATTGTATTGTTTTATATTTTTATTATTTTATTGTTTCCCTTCTACGTGACTCAGTTATCTATTTGAGTGTGTAAATGGTTTCATGCCTTACCTCTACCAAGCAGAGTCAGCAGGATTATTTAAAGAATCCAAACGCTGTTGAATACTGTACTTTTATTTAATATATGTAAAGTTTATTGTTGTTCACGAAATCAATTTGGGATTTTTTTATTAAAAAAAAGTTTCCTCAAAAACAATTATTCTCTCAAGTCTCGCATGAGTATTGTGCATAATTCCACTTTGGATTCTGGCCGAGTATAATTGTCTCTGAAATGTTTGTACCACACAATATTTCCCTAATGGCCTTTAAAATCTCCACCTTTAATCACGGGGTGCTTTGCATAAGCGTTTCAGAAGGTGGTGCGGTATAGAATAATACATTTACCGCAATTCATCACGTACCACAATACTAAACCAAGCTAGTTCAAAACATGGCTTCATTTTATGCCTGATGCGATTCGATTTTTTTTTACACTTTTAATATCCTGGTTAATACAATTTCAGCATCTGCACTATATTTTGCAGAAAATGCTTTGTTCTTGGCAACCGCTTTATTATTTGCCAGTTTTATTTTTCCTAAGGAGTCATTACGATCTGTGGTGCAAACCAATTTATAAGTTTTTTTTTTCCAGCAAAACACCCAGGTGTATGAATGTGAAATTGACTGTCATATCCAAATTGACTGTCAGCCACACTTCAGTGGTTCAAGGAACTCCATTGTGCGTCTTTAACATAAAGATAGGCCAGCGTTGCTGATAATGAAATTGATGTGCACAATTTTCCATTAAAACTGCATTGCCTTTACTTGGGAGAGCAACTTTGTGCTACCTTCATTTTTTGTTCTTTATTGTATCTTGAGCTTGCTTCTTTTTTTATAATGAATACACGCAATGAATGCATTTAGTTTTTTTGTGTACCATTACATTTATTGTATATTGGTCAATTTCCCCAATGCCACTCTACATTAATGTGAGTATGCAAATAAAATGAAAGGGCATTTATTCATTTTCAGCCCGCCCTGCAATTACTTGCCAATGCCCATGCTGGTTGAAGGACCTTCATTAAAGTAACTCTAGACAGCTCCCATGCTGACCAGAATTATTACTTGAGGTGGAAGCACTCACAGTTCACCCAAACATATACAATCTGCCAGTCGACTAACCGTGGTGCATCCATCAAATACTGCTCAGTAGACAGGGTCTAAGGGATTTAAGAAACCTGCACAACTGGGCTTGAACTTTTGTTTAAAATTATTCAGTGCAGGCGTCCCTTGCAGAATGCGCAACATGCTTTCCTGCATGTTACACGGGGGGCGTGTGACTGAAGAAAAAAATAAATATTTCATTTCATTATTCTAGCCCTGGATTTATAAAATACGTTTAAATATAATACTTAATAATACTACTATTAGCATTACAAAAATAACTTAATAAGGAGTTTAAAACAAATAACGCGATTTACATGTTTTTATTACCATTACGAATGGCATTAGGCTATTCCTTTATGAAGGTAATTGATTATATATATGCATTATTTCATATTATAATTAGTTTTTTTTTTCCACAGAGCCTGAAATCCACATTCAGTATGATATGTAATATACTGCATTGCATTTATTTGAATACCTATGTAAAGTTAGATTTTGTAAAAAAAAAAAGTGTTTTCTCATGTTTGTAAACATTATTGCCTTTTGTTATAATGGAAATGTGTACACAACATGTAATAAAGCACAGGTATATGCAGCCAACGCAACTATTGAATTTGCATGAAATATGCATGAAACGCATTTCTTCAATCTGCCGCATTTTAATTACAGTTCACATTAAGAAAAAAAAATACTCTTGCCATGCCATTGTATGCCAGCTTAATGTTCGAGCACTGAGCTTGCCTCGGGCAAATGATTACTAACGCAATCCTTTCAGGGCCATCAGTATCAATGACACAAAGGCATTGGGGGTGCAGCCTTGCATGCTGCCATGTATCCTGCCCACTTGTGTCCCTCCACTCGTTTGTTTTCACTACAGGAAACTAATGTAATATTTAGAGGCGTGCTTTTCAGTGGAAGTGGCCCTATTTTTCAGATCCTAAAATTGATCACGGTGCTTTAAATCCCACGGAGTCTCGTTCAAATCAACATTTCATTCCCCCCAATATATCCGATTGAGGAATGTGAATGCGATGGCATAGATGTTTGCACTTTAAAGTCCAGATTGCGTACACATATGTAATCCTAAGCTTTATTTTCAATTAATGCATGAAATCAATATGCTCGTTTTGTACCTTGTTGCTGGTTTTGCAATCAAAGCCAACCACTGGTAGAATTTATAACACTTGTTTCAAGTGAAATGTGATAAAAATGCGTACTCTAAAGAAAGACAGTTTTGAGCATGATTCAAAGGGGTTTTTTTTGGCTGGTTGGGATATAATCACGTTGCTATTGCGAGTTTCAAAAGTAAAGTAGATAGGGAAATTCACATGACATGTCTTCACTTAAAATAAATACAAATAATGAATTTGCATGTCCAATGGAATTCAAGCTTAGTAAAACATTTTTTTAAAACTGTACTGTATTTGCAGGGAAGGAAAAGATTGTTATATTCATATTTCGCTAAATGCATTTTTATTGTGCTGTGAGTATCATGTCATTTGATGAATATTGTACATATACAATTTAACCTATAAGGCTCGTAGTACATCAATCTGTGTCACAGAACAGCTTCGGAAGATACTACTGAAGTCACTTTAATATGACCATTTATCCACACTTTGAGGCACACATTTTAATTCAACACGTTTAAGTATCTGAGGCAGAATTAATCCAAATTTAAAGATGGACTTTTTTTGTGCAGTCATTGGTGACCAGCCTGAAACCATCAACTCGCTGCACTTGGTAGTCTAGTTTAACCACCGATGACAAGTCTGATTGTCCGCCAAATCCCGCGTTGTGATCCCCGAGTCACCCGCCTCTTCAACATAAGTAACGTAACATGTTTGTCATGAATGAGACCATAACAGCACGAATAATGGTTTTCGCTGTAAGCAGGTGCTCTGCTTTGTTGCATGAAATAAAATAACTCTGCATCGGTGTCTATTCATACACGTTGCGGTAATGTGATGAAAAATAACACAGACACAAACGCACTTCATACACTATTTGGTGTTCCTGTGCACACTTACGTAATACTTGGTCTTGACACTGCCTCAGGCTTCAGTTGTGAAGACAATTCTCTCGAATATTGAGGGTCTTTGACCCTCCTTCTCATGGTCAAAGTTATTCTTAAAATGTTCGCATGTCCATATGTAAATGTTTTAAAATATATATTCATATTTAATAAAGCCAAGTAGTGAAAATATATTACGTAACTGGTTTTATTACATGAACTATGATTAGAAATATGTAATATTCCATTTTTAGGATGAAAGATACCGTGCTGATTTATAATGACCATCTGACCACCTTATCAATTAAATGTTGTAAGCGAATCAAATTGGTAATGTTGGATACAAACATTAGGAGAGTGATAAAATATTTAATAACTGCACTGAAATTTGTAGGAGACATGGAGAGGCTTTGAATTCAAATGTTTTTGCTATGATTTCTGGGGTATTTATAGAGTAAACAATCAGCCAGGTGGCTAAATGGAAGAGCAAGCGGCTTACAGTCGGAATAATTTAAGTTCAAATTCTGGTGGGTGGTTGACTCAGCCCATCATCCCCTTCGGGGCTGATAAAATTGTAATCCTTTGTGGGGGAAGTCAACAGTGGGTGGCTTATAGAGAGACTCGCCCCACAGCACGAATGTGGAAATTCCATCACGGGCTCAGGCCTGTAAACGAGAGGTGTGAACTACCCTGATGCTCAACTGAACAGGAAATCAAGTTGACTTGTTTGTAACCGTCTTTATATGGATCACCATCTACTTCTCCCGTAACCTCAATTTAGCATATAGTGGAATTTTTTTTCCATTCAGCTCCATAGTCTGCACAGTATACACGCGTAAACCCACATATGTGAAGTGTGGTATATGTAGCACACATATAATAATTATCCATAATAGAGGTGTTTGGGTTAGATTGTGTAAATATACATTTGTCATTCAACCTGCCACCATCTGACACAGCCACATAGTAAGGTTTGTCAAGTAAACAAAACATGCCGATTAGTCACTAATTCAGCACACCTGTGTGATGGAGAGTAAACCCACAACATTTACAATGTGAGTACAACGTTTTGCCGGTAATTACTACCAGCCTCATCAGGCGGCAGGCAAAATTGTAGATACATCCTCTTGCTTTGGACTTAAATAGAGGGGGTAAATGTGACGTCGTCACGTGTGAGCCAATCAGGTGCGAAGACCAGAGAGGGGGTAATAATTAGATCGAATTGACCCATTAACTGTTATGTCTTTCACCATGCTTGCATTATACGTGTTATACTTTCCACAGGTATTACATGCGGCGCTGCATTAACTGGACCCAGTGGAACAATCACCTCCCCTAACTTCCCGGTGCAGTACGATAACAACGCCCAGTGCGTGTGGACCATCACAGCTTCGCGGCCTAGCAAGGTTTGCCACGTTCTAAATCTTCTATGTGCACATTTAAATACTCTACTAGCTAATTAACTGCTGTGATGTTCCTGCGGCAAACACTATGATTGCATGTATTAGCCAGTGTTGTGTTTCATCAGCTGTGGGAATTTTTTTTACGCGTTTTGATCAAGCGTTTATAGTACAGGTAGTTAAAGGCTAAGGTGCAGCTCTGGATTTTTTTTCTGACACCACTGCTGGCAGAAGTTCTTCCACTAGAGGGAGCTCTAGATAACCCCTCTAGAGGGTAGTTGGCCTCGTGTTCCAAGCTAGCCTGACATCTTGGAAGAGGTGGAATTAGCCACGCACTTGATTCCACGTCACGTGACCTGCCGATCGACAAACTGGTGCACACATTTATACTGCTGGGTGGACAGAGGTTGGGCGATTCAAGAAACAATTGCCTCTTGTTCTGCAACGGGAGATTGAACTGGTAACATCCGGATTGCAAGCGTCCCATCTATTACACTAGAACAACAACTACCATAGCAGCAGACTGCAGATGAGAGACATTTAAATATAATGTAACCAAAGGCAGTTCCATGAATTATGTTTTGTAAAATATGTACTGTACTCATATTGTGTATAGGTATAGTCTGACTACGTAATTATCCTGATGAAATTACTTTAATGGATTCAACCATCCAAATAACACACTGCGTCTAAGTAATAATGTTTCTAATTTTAAAGCTATTGAGACATTCAAATAATTACTCTTCTGTTTATTTACGTTTGAATATTAAAATAAATAGGCAAGATTCGTGATTTTTGTTCCATTCCTCCAAAAACATTACAATGTATACGCATTTTTATTTTTTTATTTGCAAAAGAAAGTTGCTATTACAAATAAATTAAGGCAATTAAAATAAATATGCCTTCCATTCCTGTTTGTATATTTGATGGCTAATTTGTTTTCTAATTTCCCAAAATGTCCTTAAAACTATTATTATTCGATTTGATAATTGCCATTCTACGAACTGATTAATAAAAATTACTGCTAACAATTATCATACACGCTTACCAAATGAATCCTGTCCTTAATGCCCATCGTTAAAATGCAAGCAAAATTAGCCCACATTGCAATTTTCTGATAGTCACAGCCCTTAAAAGTTCCAGAAACATACAATACGGAATTTCTGTAATTTTTAATGTCCATGATTCGTGCATTAATTCAATAAATAATGTATATTCGTCAATGCTTATATCCAATATGTTTTCGGCCTGTATCGCATGTTGTTTGGCTTTGTGTGATGTTTATGTCCACATATTGCGAGCTTCTTCAGCACATGAATCAAAACGTCGCAGAGATATACAGCACATCTACGAATACCTACACGGCAATCATAAGCTAAAATTCTCAATTCCTTTGGTATATCACCTGTAATTGGGCACTTGAAGCAGAACTTATAGAAAATATGCTCTCGGTTAAGTGCAGTGGTCTTAACATTTTTTTTCCCACTCGGCTCAATCATGGCTGTGGACTAGCTGCTTGTCAAAGGGACATTCGTACAACGTCAAGGGGAAAACGTCATCCTGCAAAGTTGTCCTCTCGTGATAAATTAATTCCAACTTGTCGAAAAGCCATATCAGGAGAAAATATGCGGTAGGCAGACTATCGATAATAGATCATGTGTGATTTGTATCCAGTGCCCTTTCCCACAAATTTTACTCCTAAAATTTGCAAAACAGCAGAGACATCTATTGAAAGTGGATCTAGTTGATGCATCTTGTACGTGAACAAAATGCCTCCAAATTGTTCCAAGTTACTCAGTGTGGTCCTATTGAAGTCCCACAACTCAATCTCTAAATCTGAAAGCTGACTGGCTCGCTCATGCGGTGAATAGGCTTTGTCTAATGGAAAATACAATTCGTGAAAGTGGGAATTTGGCATTCATGGGTGCAGTGCTGTCTGCAATAGTTTTGGAATTTAAAAAAACGACTCAACGTTACCACACTTGTAAAAAACCTTACATCATTACAAAAAATGTCATTCACAAAGCTAGCATTTTTTCCTTGAAAAGACGGGTGAAATGTTAAAGGCAAAATGGCAAACCCTGTAATTACTTCCTCATGCCACTGCTGGCAGAAGGACCTCTGTTAGGACGGAGACCCCCCACCACACTGTGGTAAATCTATTTATACTGGCTGAGTGGACAGAGGCAAGGTGGGGGTTTAAGAACCTCTTGATTGCAAGTTCAGTGGGCTAACCATTACAGCATGGCAGCATCCCCTATTTATGTATTTTCCCTTTAATAAATGCAAATTACATGCGATTGCATGTGTAATTAAAAATACATCTCCAGCAAAATCACCGGACAATGTGCCTTTCGATATGTAAATGCATTTGTAAACAGGTTTATGATGGTCTTTTGATTGGATTTTCATCTATATGTTTGAAGATGCATTTGGATTAAAAATTTATTCCAAGTGGATACACTCTAAATCAATGCGGATTTAGGTTCTGCATAACATGAATTTGATTGGATTGTATTTAAAGCCAATATGTTAAAGATCCACTGACCTTTGCATTCATGAGATAAAGGTATATGAATGTATTGTGGTTGATAAGTAGAAAGAACAGTTTGTGTAATGAGGTAATTTGACTATTTTGCAGAAAAATGTTGGAATGTAAACAGTACACTTTTAATTATAATGTTTGCATAACGCGCATTCCCTTGGCTTCTGAATACTGAAGCACAGCTCTGATTCCCCTATACAATATAATACGTGTCCAAAACTATTCATAGTATATAGATGTATCCCTCGATTTACGAAAGGGATGTGCTCTTTAAAAACAAAAACGCGTGTTTTTTTTCAAATGCTGCCACGGGAGATTGAACTGGTAATATCTGGATTGCAAGCATCGAAACTATTACACCATGGCAGCAGAGTGCAGATGAGAGGCGGGGATATGTTTCAGACAGTCATTCCAAATCTACTTCTAACCTAAAAAATTATACACCTATATCACTAAATCTTGACATAAAGCTTTCATGACTGTAGGAATTCATATTCTTTGGGTCTTTCGGTAAAGTCACGTAGATAGGTTCAAAGAAAATAACAAAAAATAACAAACCAAAAACTTTTGTTACTACTTTTTTCGTTATTTTTTAAATTATTTTCTTTGAACCTATCTACGTGACTTTACCGAAAGACCCAAAGAATACCTGTATCACTTTTCACAATACTTAAACATAATAAAGAACATCAATATTAAAACTGTCGAATCGTAATTAATTTAAAACAAAAAAAAACCGCTTCACCCTTTCAAGAAACTAACCAACACAGATTGAGTGGTAAGGCAATGTGGAGGCGTTACTGTTGCACTGCAGGGACACCGTGCCGCTGTCATTGATGGATGACGCAGCCTCCTGGGTGCCTCCTGTTTGACGATCTCATGTTGGGTGCCGTGGGAAATTTTGTTCACGTGGAAATTAGATTTCGTTAATCGAAGGGTGTGCGTAATTTGTCATTTGCGTTCGTGCCCGTAGAAATGGCTACAGTTTTATAAATGCATATTAGTGTCCCGCAGCAATCAAGTGTGCTTCCAACCGAAACACTGTTGGAAACTGTCATGATAATTGTAAAACACAAACAGTCCTTACATAATATTTAATAACGCCATTCAATAAAACAAAACAAATAGTACATTTTATTTACTGCCAAGCCGTTTTGATTTATTTTGTCCTTTGCATAGTAGAGCAGCCTACGATAATTTAGGTTATGAAGTCAAGCAATCCCTTTCTATCTGTTTATTTGACAGCTATTTTGGGATTCTTTAAGTGAAGGTGAGTGACAAGATGTGTGCAACTTGCCATAGTAATAAGATGGAAAAGGCACATAAATGGAAGGAAATTGCATTCTGCTTTTTGCTGTCGAAGTGGACACAGAATTGCCGTGCAGTGTATGTCCATTACATATCCAATTCCTTTAGCAATCACAGAATTTTTGAGATATGGCAGCAGGATATGTGAATTGTCTTTGAAAACCATTTCATACACTCTGCTTATTCATTTCTAAAAATATATTGGCAAATACTGTAAAATGGCAAAGTACAACATTCTGTACACAGGGTCGTGTTTACCATAGGTATATATAATCTAAAAAGTATGCAATGCAGTGCACAATTAACTTTTGTCACATGTAACACTGTTGTCACACTGAGGTTTAACACTGTATGTATAAACTACATTGCATCTTCAGAAAGTGATGTAAGCAAATGTCTGTTAAGTCTCTCAGACCTATATTTCTGCCAGTGCCTTGCAAAATCAATACATATTTGGATCCATATTATGTATGTTTTAGACCCATGTAACACAGGGAATGTCAAGCATGCATCCACATTTCAACTGCGGTTGAACTAGCGCTATCTCCAGTGATGTGGGGGACAAACATCAACGATCATATTATCCACAATGGTATTTGGTTCACTGCAACAACAAAAAAAATCACCATTTGCAACCCGGTAACTGACCCGAGCAGTGAAGTTCCAGACTTGAACCTTCCACGGAAAAATTGGACAAACCTCAACCGCTTGAGGACAGGGAAGATGTAGCCACTTTCTCCACAAGTGGAACGCGAGGGGCAGCCTTTACTGTGACCGTAGCCACCCAAGTCAGACGGTAACCCATGTACTGAGCTCCTGCCCCGAGAGATCAATTCCCGGTGGCATGCCTCGCCCATAGTCGTTGAATGGATTACTAACTTGCGGCATCAGACTGTCGCAGCTTCCCCAGCCATACAAAGAAGAAGGATCTGCAAATTTTACTCCATTTATCTGCGGATAATATAAACAATAGAGGGAAATGCCAATTATAGACCCGACAGGTCCCGCGAGTAATTAAAGCATAACATAAATCTTGACTTAAAGTTTTCGTGACTGCAGGAATTCATATTCTTTGGGTCTTTCGGTAAAGGCATGTAGATAGGTTCAAAGAAAATAACAAAAAAATAACAAAAAAAACTACGACGTTTCGATC